TACCTTGCAAAATATCTTGAAATATCTACAGAAAATAAAAATATGTTTTAGGAATTGTTTTAGCCCCTAAATCTCGAGATATACATACAGGGTGAGGAGAAAAGATGGAAACCCTTAAAAATATCGAAAGATATCAGTTTTACAGAAAAATGTTTCAGGCAAAAATTATAAGGTTTAAAACGATGTATTTATTGATCTTATCAGTTTATTCTTGAATGGTGTTGCCAAGGTCAGGTTAAGGTCAACATATTTTTTTAAAACAGGAACCTCCATTTTTTACTATATCATCTTTTTTACCAATGAATTTGAACAACTTTTATTTGAAACATTTTTTATTTGCCTAATATTTTTTTAAATATTTAAGGGAAACTCGGAAACTTTTTCAATATTTAACTTATGATATCTCACCAACTATTTGTCTGGAGCAAAATGCTATTACACTTCTTTACTCTACTTAGTCTCAAGAATATATTGTTACAATAGCACCCTGACTTTTGTTAATTTGATGATTTTGAAATTTCCAAAAGTCAATAAGTTAACAAAAGTTAGGGAACTATTGTAACAATATGTTCTTGAAACCAAATGGTAAAAAAGTCTAGTACCATTTTTTTCTTCTAACAAATAGTTAACAAGATATCATAAGTTAAATATTGAAAAAGTCATCAAGTTTTCCTTAAATATCTCAAAACATATTAGGTAAATAAAAAATATCTTAGACAAAAGTTTTTCAAATTAATTAGTAGAAAAAGATGATATAATAAAAAATTGGAGTTTCTGTTTAAAAAAATAAGTTGACCTTGACCTGACCTTGGCAATGCCAAGGTCAAACTGATAAGATGTGAATACGTTTTCGTAAATGATAAAATGTAAATACGTCGTTTTAAACCTTATAACTTTTGTCTGAAACACTTTTCTGTGAAACTTATATTTTTCGAGATTTTTAAGGGTTTCTACCTGTTTTCCTCACCTTATATAAAAAATACATGTCTAATATTTCTTGATGCTCTACAACATATACAAAACCCATCAAAATCAATACGGGATGCCTCTAACCTTATGTGAATAAGAAATATAATAATAATGAAATGTTAATATTGGATAATTGCATAAGTTCGTGCCCGATTTTCATAAATGGCGTTAACTTACTGCATGGCGGAGTTCCGATGTTTTTGTATGGTTATATTGCATGCATTGAATAGGTAACAATGTCTTGTGTCACTTTAACGTCAGGCATCGTTCAAATAAGTCGATTTGTGCGTAAGAGAAATTTTTAAAAATGCAGAACGAAAAGGTGCATTTGCGGCATGTAATGCTATACGAATTTCGGAAAGGCGTGAACGTTGGGACTGCACAAAAAACATTCAGAGCGTTTATTTGGACCGTGCTGCTGCTCTCCGGAAAGTTGAAAAGTGGTTTAGCAAATTTTGAAATAGTGATTTGAACTTGAAAGATGAACTCTGCTCTGGACAGCCTTCTGACATTGATGACGACATGTGAGTGCCTTAATGGAAGGGAACTCAAGAATTATAACTGAGGAAATTGCTGAGAGGCTGAAAATTGATAATTCGACTACGTTTCGCCATTTAAAAAAGCTTGGATACGTTTCCAAGCTCGATATAAAGGGTGTCCCAAAATTTACGCAAGAAGTAATTTTGATAGAAAACACGGGTTTATAATTAAAAATTGTGAATTTTTTATTGATTCATAAAGTATACAGTATAGGGTTATGTATGGAATAGCATATCGGGTAAACGGTCACAGTGAAGAGAGTTCGCTGAATGGATTATGGAACAACAAGTAGATGCTGATTTTTTGAAAAAAATCATCTTCAGCGATGAGACTTATTTTCATCTTGATGGCTTGATTAATCGACAAAATTGTCGTATTTGGGGTTCAGAAAATCCACGAGTGATTGTTGAGAAACAAATGCATTCACAACGTGTCGCTATTTGGTGCGAATTTTGGGTTGGAGGCATCATCGGACCATTCTTCTTCGAAAATGCGGCTGGTCAGGCAATAACAGTTAATGGTGCTCGCTATCGCGACATGATAATCCAGTTTTTCGTGCCTAAATTGCAAGATATGGATGTAGACGACATGTGGTTTCAACAAGACGGTGCCACATGCCATACAGCCCGAGAAACAATTCAATTACTGCATGAGTTATTTCCTGGTCGTGTAATTTCCCGTTTTGGTGATCAGATTTGACCGCCCAGATCATGCGATTTAACGCCGTTGGACTTCTTTCTTTGGGGTTTTTTGAAGTCTAAGCCTTTATGCCAACAAGCCCACGACCACCCACGCCTTGAAGGAGGAAATTGAGCGCTGTATCAACGAAATTCAGCCACATTTTTGCAAAACGGTTATGGAAAATTTCAACAAAAGAGTGCAAATGTGCCAGCAAAGCCGTGGAGGCCATTTACCTGATATGCTATTCCATACATAACCCTATACTGTATACTTTATGAATCAATAAAAAATTTATAATTTTTAATTATAAACCTGTGTTCTATCAAAATTACTTCTTGCGTGAATTTTGGGACACCCTTTATGAGTGCCACATTTCTTGATTGAAAGAAATAAGCTGAACCACATGAATGTGACCATTTCTCTCTTCGCACGTAGCAAAAGAGAGTCTTTTTGGATCAAATGATAACAGGCGATGAGAAGTGGATTCTGTACAACAATGTACAGCGAAAGAGGACCTGGAAAAAAGCTGAAAATACAGAACCCGTCACGAAAGCTGGTCTGCATTCACTGAAGGTGTTGCTGTGTGTTTAATGGGATTGCAGAGAAACTATTCACTTCGAGCTACTCCGACGCGGCGAAACAATCACGGCGAACAAGTACTGTGAGCAACTCACTAGTCTCGATGCGGCTATTCGAGAAAAACGTCCAGTTTTGACCAATCGGAAAGGCATCATCTTCCACCACGACAATGCTAGACCGCACGTCACCCAACAGACGCTGCGAAAACTGTAGGAGCAATGGGAAATTCTCCAGCACCCACTACATTCTTCAAATATTGTGCCTTCAGATTTTCATCTGTTCTGGTCTTTGCAGAATAGTTTGAATGGAGAAAATTTTAAGTCCGAGGAAGCTGTCCAAAACCACCTCACGAACTTTTTTCAAGGAAAACCAAACTCTTTCTTCAAAAATGGAATCGACAAGTTTGTAGATCGCTGGAAAACAATTGTAGAGAAGAATGGAGACTATATAATTAATTAATAAAGCTGTATTCTTTAAAATTTAATCTATTGAACTTTATCTTTGTTGTGAATACTTGTAGGAGTGTCAGTTAGTGAGTAAGACTGGCCTTTTCTTGAGAACTATATGTTTATTAGGAGCAGAGAACAATAAACGTGGTATTGGTTAAGTGCCATTAATTGTGTCAGACAGACCAAGATGAACATAGAGTAAAGAAGAAGAAGACATAGAGATGTAACACAGCACGGAAGAGAAAAGAAACCTACTAGCGCCGCCTGGTATATTAATGCCCTTGACCATAAACTAGCCTGTTATAAAGAAATGAACAAAGCTCTTTATAACAATCTTTATAACAATCTTTAAATCATGAATTTATGCAATCATCCAATATATCTGTTCTCTTACTATTTTAGAACATAAGAAATATATACAAGAAAATATCACTCCAAGCTATTCTAAGATTCTTGCTTACATATTTTCCGTTTTATATATTTTTAACTTCAAATATTGTTGAAACTATAAAAGAGTGTCATCTGTTTTAAAACCCTTTTCAGTAAACACAAAGTATCATCGATGTTACATGGTATGTCACGTAACTATTATTACATTGTAACTATTACATTGTAACTATTACATTACAACTATTACATGATTATATATGGTATGTTACGTAACTATTATTTTGTTATATAACAAAGCAACTATTATATACCATATGATTTAGCTGACATTGTAATATGGATGATACTTTGTGTTTACTGGATTGTTACTTGAAAACTAAGCCTCTACAATATATGCTAAAGTCATAATCATCGCTATTATACAAGTTATACCATGGGTAGTTGCTGAAACTAATCAACTGTCACTTTTAAATGTAAGCAGTTATTGGAAAAACAAAAATTGCGTTGGAAAGAGGAAAATCTGTAATTTTTAATGGATATAAATAAAATTTACCAAAATGTTTACATATTAGTTTGCATTTATTTTATTGATGAAAATAATGTTAATAATTAAGTAAGCTAATGCTAAATATTTACAAAGTGTGCATCATCTGAATTTGTATAAAACTCAATTCTTTTATGAAAACTTGTAAAAACTTTTTCTAACATGTCTTTAATGTTTCTGACACCCTTTCTAATAGCTACAACTAAATCTGGTAGGACCTGGCATATCATGTCTACGGTCTAAGAGAGTTCCATATTGTGTAAAATTATCGATAATTCTATTAAAAGTAACATAAAACTTTAGAAATTAAAATTATTTTAATGCAGGCTTATTGCCAAAAAATGGAATGACGTAACACATAAGTTTAAATAAATAATGAATTATAACCTTTTCAGTGTGTTTCCGCTCTTAACTTTATATGTTCCGTAGTTAGTACGAAACTCGCTATAAACACTGCTATATACTTTTCCTCTGAAAAAGAAGTACTCGGTAAAATAGATCTTTTCTTTCGTCGTCAGATTATTCATTTTGACGCGCATTTTGACTTACTTCTACTACAGCCAGAATAAAACTGACAAACCCTCAGATGGACGACTGTTAACCGTAAGGCTCTTTCTGAAGTCATGGAAGGGAGGACCAATCATTTAGTTTCAGCACCTTCCCGTGGGACTCTCTGTATAAACATTTAAATATTTATTCTTTTCTAAAATATTTGCTTTTATGGTTATTATTAATGTTTAATAAAAAGCTATGAATAACGAAGGAATTTACAGCATAATAATACATTAAGAATAAAATAATACATTAAAAATCGTATATGAGGATTAAAATATTTGTATATTCTACAGGGTAGGACATCACTGCACGTAAGCGCTTGGCAAGGACATATAGAAATGGTAGCATTGTTGTTAAAAGAAGGTGGTGCTACTGTAAATGCTCATGACAATGAAAATAGAACACCGCTTCATTCAGCTGCTTGGCAAGGACACGCAGCAATTGTTAAATTGCTTTTAGAAAATGGTGCTACTCCTGATCACATTTGCAATCAAGGTGCAACAGCTTTAGGTATGCTGTCATTATATAAGAAAATAATAAGTTTTGAACGATATAGATAGCGCATTCAAGTACATTCAACCGCAGTCAAAACACAAATAAATATGAATGTGCATACAACAGACCCAAATTTTCTAAAATAATGGTTATGAAGAAGAATTTATTATCATCTGTTATGGTAGTACGACGACAAATATATAAATATATTCATGTTCATATTATTGTGACATTATTAATTACTTATTCAAAATTAACCTTTTCACTACGGCACACAGTGGGCAAAAAGATTCATTTTTTGGACAAAAATCTATCGACAGTGTAATTTTCAACCGATTTCAAAATTTTCTTTTTTAATTTACTCATGAAACATTGCTCTACAACGTAGTATTGCGGCATTGATGAGAAAAAGCTGAAATCCAAAATGGCAGGTAGAAAATGAGTGACAAACGTATTGAATTCCTTGTCGAATGATACTTTTCTCTTTTATTATATATATTTACACAATATTACAATATTATTATATATATTTACACTAAAATTGTTTTTTGGGTCGCTAAATATGAATTTGAGATCAAACTTAAAAGTAAAAAGTCAAAATAACATTTATTATAAAAGTAAAGATGTCGAAACTTTACAAGATTTGTTGGATTTACAAAAAAAGATTATTATGCATCTGGCACATAATTATTAAAAAATTTTACGACGTTCAAGTTTGGAGCGTTCTTCGAGCGAAAATTGAAAATAGCTTTTATTTTAAAGAAACCACTTAATATAAATGTAAATACACATAAAAGATAAATTTGTGTTAAATATGACATGACATTATAAGAAAGTTGTCCTCCTCGAAAATTACGCAAATATAATCATTTATACACATGATAATTTCCACAGTACGTCCAAATACTTTGTGCCAAAAACTGACAGTACATTTTCACTCTCCGGTATGTGGGAAAATAGAAAAAAAATAGTTTAATAGCAATCGCGTCCCGGAACACTTTCGTTCTCCCCGAAAATTGTGCACATACCACCATACTCAGACAGATTATAATTGCTTCCGTCCGTCTCAGCGCTTTGTGCCAAAAATTGACAGTGCATTTTCACCCTTTGGTGTGTGGGAAAATAGAAAAAAAATAGTTTAATAGCAATCGTGTCCCAGAACACTTTCGCCACTTTCAAAGTTAACAACCAAATTCGTTATAAAATTTAAAAAAGCCCAAGTCCATTCGACATAATTTAAAATGCTTCAAATTGAAAAAACAATACTCAATTTATTTTATATTTCTTTATAACACTTCAAAAACAATTTATGCAATTCAGGAAATTTTCTAACTACATACATTACATAACAATTTACTGCTTATCTACATTTTGTGTATGTGGGAGGGATTTGAAGAAGTCATGGTGCTCCGGTGGTATATATCGTAATAAGTCCATCATGTCCTTGTATTTCGCTGTTGTAATTCGTCTTATATTTTTATAAAGTGGTGTCAATACAATATTTTCGAACCTACCCTCTTAGCTTCTTGGTCTACCCCGACGTGGTAATGAATCCAGGATTTTAAACTCTGCATTCTCATCCATTGATATCTTATAGAAAATTTTATATGATTCATTTCTCAAAAAACGCATCCAGCATATTTTTAACCAATTTATTGTTTCTCCGTTAGAATTCTTTGTAAAAACTGCGTCCTCCAAAAATTTTGTTGATATGAAATCCTCTTATTTCATTTCATTTAGAATAAAGTTATTACCTTTCCGGCTTTTTGATAACATTATAATAATCTTGGGGGACAAACAGTAAAGTATTTTTCTTTAATGACATTTCTACGACGCCAAAATCTCTATCATTCGGTAAAAATGAATGATAGTAAGAATTTATGGTCTATGATTTCCACATTATGTTCAACAGTTTGGACAATTTTTAGGCACGTTAAAGCTACTTTAATGTTCCTATTTTATCCTACACACATGTCACTGTAAGCTGTAATATGTCTTTCACTTCTTAGATTTTTAAGATGTTTCAAGATGCATGAAGCTACAACAGGGTTTTTCAATTGGTGCGGGTCGATGTTGGCAGCCGGTGGCGGCCATGTTGTTTTGGCGGCGTTTGTCTAACCTGTTGTTTATTATTCAGTCACTGATGCCAAATCACCATGACAAGTTACACGATTGAGCAGCACATCCAAGTGATAAAACTTTATTATCAAAATGAGTGTTCGTTATTGGAAACGTTGCGCGCGTTGCGCCCATTTTACAGCAGACGCGATGGCCCTTCAAAGTCGACTCTCCAACGTTTGGTGGCCAAATTCGAGACGACCAGTTCGGTAAACAATCAGCCAACACCCGTACGTCAAAGGAACGCCAGATCGGCCGAGAACATCGCCGCTGTAAGTGAAAGTGTGCAGGAGAACCCGAGGCAGTCAATTCCTCGCCGTGCACAAGAACTCGGCCTTTCGCAGACTTCAACTTGGCGAATTTTGCGTCGAGACTTGGGCCTGCACCCGTACAAGATCCAACTGGCCCAGGAGCTCAAAGTTAATGACCATAGACAACGCCGTTTGATCGCTGATTGGGTTTCGGAGCATTTGGAAAAGGACCCCAATTTTGACCGAAAAATCATTTTTAGCGACGAGGCGCATTTTTGGATGAATGGCTATGTTAACAAGCATAATTGCCGTATATGGCACGACACCAACCCACACGAGGTTCAACAGGTAGCAATGCATCCACAAAAAGTTACTGTTTAGTGCGGATTTTGAGCCAGCGGCGTCATTGGTCCGTACTTTTTCGAAAACGACGTTGGTGAGGCCATCATCGTCAATGGCGAGTGCTACAGAACGATGATAACCAATTTCTTTTGGTCCAAATTGAATGATATGAACGTGGACGACATGTGGTTCCAGCAGGACGGCGCTACGTGCCACACAGCGAACGCCACGATGGACATTCTGCATGAACGATTTGAGGGTATGGTTATCTCTCGCAGAGGTGACGTGAATTGGCCACCAAGATCGTGCGATTTGACCCCGCTAGACTTTTTCTTGTGGGGTTTTCTGAAGTCGCAGGTCTATGCCAATAAGCCGCAATCGACCGATGCCCTTAAAGTCAACATAACCCAAGCCATCGCTCAAATTCAGCCGAATCTATGCGGCAGAATCATTGAAAATTGGACCACTCAGATCCGTGCCACCGTGAGAAGCCGCGGCGGACATTTGAACGATGTTATATTCTACACATAATGGCATACATGGGCCATGCAAAAAAAGAATTTCGTTAATACCTCACACACAGCTTGTTTCATTCCATTGCAACATCGACCCGCCCTTATTGAAAAACCCTTTACTTCTTGGGAACCTCTTGATGCAATAGTTTCATGCCAAACGTACATGTGAACATTATCGTTATGAAAATTGTGAATACCCAAATTTAGAACGTACATATTGCGTTTATAATATGCTACTGAAGTAGTTAACTTTGGATAAGGTAATGCTTTTTGCAAGTCGAAAGAAAAAGCGAAATAATGATCTGAATTACGTAATACTAGTTCTTGATCTTGTTTTAATGACTTCCTAGCTGATTCTGCTAGCCTTAAATGGACCTCATTTTCTTCCATAAGTTTATTCTTTTCTTCATCATCATTCGATGCTTTAATTTTAATGTTTAATAGGTCGCATTTTTGGCATGTATTTTTGCACGGTTAGTGGAAATATAAATCAAAATCTTTTTTAAATATTTTTCTGTAAGTCCACTCATTAACGGCTTTTATATTATTTCCCTTGCAATGAAGCTCGTATAAATTAAACATTTTCATTAGAGTTAGATCAGGATGTAGATATCTTCTATTAGGGTTATGAGATCTGGTATAATGGGATTCAAATTTGGGAAAACTTTTAATATGGTTTTGAACGTGCTTTTTCTCTTCCTCAGAAATTTTTCTCGATGATCCAACCATACGCCCACATAAGTCATTTCCTACATTTGCAGAGTTTAATATACGTTTTAATCGTCCTTCACTTATTTTAAAGGTATCCAAAAAGAATTTTTTACAGACGGGAACTTTTCCGTTTTCAAAATTTAACAAATACCTAAAATTATAATTTCTTGACGAATCTTCTCCGTTTCTTTGACGTTTTCGTTTCACAGCATAGCGCTCGGTAGCTTCGTATAGCAATACATTTTGTTTATTAAAATCTCCCAAGTACCAAAACTTCTCAAAAGTATTCTTTCTTTCTTCTTCTTCGTAATCTTTTATGCAAGCATTTCGACAACGGCAATCTTTGTTTTGAAAAACTTTTGCAGGTATAATGTTTCCAGTTTGAGTATAACATCTTTTCCCTTATTCCGTTTAATTTTTCGCACTGTTTGGATGTCTATTTCACCATTCTTTTCTTTGTTGTTATCTGTATCTTCATCCTCTGACGACGAATGTTGTTCTACAATTCTCTTTCATTGTCGATTTTTGTTGAAGTCATTAGTTACTAATTCGTGTTCATTATCTGAATTAAATAGTCTTATTGTTTTATTCTTCCCCATGGGTGTAATAATTATTTTAATTTAATATTTTTAATTTTATATTCAATTGTAAGTGTGTATTGAATTAGTAAGTGTGCGTGAATTTTTTTTCACTGCATTAATTAAACGTATTGATTATTCAATACTAAAGCAACTGTCCAAAAGCTGAGGTTAACTTGTTAATTACTAGTTAATTAAAATTACCTTCATCACTGCCTTCGGACATTTGAAAATCCGCACTTTCGGACATTATCAATAATGGATTGGACTTAGGCCACTTTCAAAATGGTTACTAGGTGCGCAACTAAGTTTCCGGGTTTTTTTGATCAATGAAAAATGGAAAATTTCAAGAGAAATACAAAAAATGGTTTATTCAAAGTATCGTCCCTCGCTAGCTACACATTTTTGCCATCTTTCTGGCAATACATGAATACTGCGACGATAAAACGACGCGTCTTTCGACCATTCATCCAACTAATTTTGCACTTCTTCGAAATTGG